TTTTAAAGGGTATTTCTGATTAGGCTGATTAAATACAGAAGGCCTTTGCTGGTCTTGTCTTTTTATTTCAGTCATGTTTTTTATGGTTCTTTTTAATCGTGTTTTTTTTTTTTTGTTCTGGTTTGTTTGTTTGGGTGTGCTTTTATTTCATTTTGTTTTTATTTGGCTTCGATTTATCTTTGCGACTTTGTTTACGCTCATGTTCTTTTATTATGTAGTTATAATCCTTTTTGTTCTTGTTATCTCCCTTTACTCATAACTTGTGAAGTTCTACATCATAGGGAAATAAATCATTAAAATTTAAGTTCACAATTTTTATTTTTTGTTTGTTCTTGTTTTGTTTTTGTTTTTCAGTTCGTTTTCCCTCTTCTCCTTCCCTATAACACAGCCAAAAAATGTAAGTTCACAATTTTGATTTTTTGTTCGTTTTTGTTTTGTTTTTGAGTTCGTTTTCCCTTCCCCTTCCTGGTAACACGACCAAAGATCTAGATGTTATATTATTCTATATCTAAGTAGGCCTATCCATCTCAATGTTCTACTTTGTATAGTTCTCATTTTCAAATCATGACATGACGAAACTCTCTTTTGTTCTCACGACACGACGAAATGTTCTTTTGTTCTGTCGAGTCTCATGTGAGGAGTCCTTCGATCGTTTGTGTGGCATCTGAAGGCCCGGCATTTTAATTCACATTGTATAAAGGATAATTCAATACCGGCGTCTGGATGGGTGGTTGGTGGGTGCTCTGGTGTGGTTTGCTTCTTCTTTCCTATCAAACATCTATCGTCTTTATCTCCCCTCCTTCTTTTTTTTCTGTTTGTTACTCTCTTGTAACAACTCTAATCTTCGGCACTTTATAATAAATATGACCTTATTGTGTTGCAAGAGCCTTGAAACACTTACTAAAACTACTAAACCGACGTCTGTGGTAGAATGGTTAGATCTAGACCCCCTTCTCTAACATGCTGAGGGCATGAGTTCGAATCTTCAGTAGGGATAGTGGGGATTTTTATGTTTTTTAAGGTCCAGCATTTTCCGTCTGTCTACTCGGTGGCTGAACCCAATTCTGTCCAGGCTGGTGTGCTGAGACAGCAGAGAGGGTGGGTCGGAGGCAACCCCCCACCCCTCCCCCGGCCGTTCTAAATGACCTAAAAATTAATGTCGAAGTGGGGGTAAAAACACAACATAATATGTTTCATAATATTTTTTAAAATTGTTGCTGTGTGTGTGTGTGG